GTTCTAATTATAGCTGGTCCCATTTGATGTAAGCAAATTAATTTCTCCCTCTCCAGAGAGATAAGCTAATTAAACAGACAGCCAAGGACTTGAGTGATCACTCCTAACTCAAGGGGAGGTGTCTGCCTTGATTACCATGAGAGTTTGGGGGAATCTTGTTTATGCAAGGCAAAGCCCTATAGTATACTGTGGGACAGAGAGAAATTCAATTTGTTTTCAAATGGACATTGAGATGCGGGCATTCAGCGAAAAAAAATTAAACCTCTTTCTACGTCTGCAACCTCTAAACCACACTGCAGTGGAAACTATTTGATTAAACTCATTTCAAGACTTGCCAGAATTCAATCAGAAGCCGGAAATGTCCTGTCCGCTGTGTTTGTGTTAATTTCTCAACTGTATGTCAAACAAAATCACAACTGTTTCTAGTATCTTGTTAAAGGCACAGTGCACATTGGGTATTATTTATACTGTATGTATTGGAATATTTTATTTTATTCTGACAAATCTTACACAACCATTTTATATGATATGATGAAATAAAAAACACTGCCAGTTAGCTTTAGCTGTCTCACAAGTCTGAAATAAATCTATGTGACTGTTTAAGAAAATATAAATTTACGTATTCCACAGCAACTGACCAAAACCAGAACATTCAATAAATTAAACTGGATTATCTGTGTTACGAAGAGGCAGACAGACTTCCAGAGATGTCAGAAATGCCTAACATGAGTATTTGTTCAGCAGAAAAAAAAAAGTTAAATTAAATTGTAAATTGTGAACTTGAATGTTCCCTGAATAACATTTTTTTTCCTTGTCTTATCCTGAATTATTATTGAAAGTACAGGGAAAGCACTATAAAGGGTTAAATACCATAAAGTGGTGCTGTAGCTTACACCTCTAATTTGTGTTGAATAACTACTAATGCAAGAGCAGGGCTTTCTTTATGACCTTAGCTTTCTTTTGTTACTTCCCTGAAGCATCGCTTGAGCTACTAATTTGCTTAAATTTGATATTATAATATTTTTTTTATCAATTTCAGTAGTGAAAATCATCTAAGTGCATTTTACATAACATCCAGTATGAAACATACCCATAACCTGGACCCTCCAACCGTACAAGAGCTGACAAAATAACTGCAGAACTTCAAATAATTATCAGTTAATTTAAATTGAAATTATCAGTTCAGTTAACAGCTATTCCAGCTGAGAGCTGAGCTGGAATAATAACCAGTTTTATAGGTTACAAGAAACTGGACTGGGGACCCCAACAACAATAGTAATTTCAGAACAGCTTGGAAAAAACAATTCTCCTAAAACAGATAGTGGTGACTTGCTATGTTTCTAAGTATTGTATAATGAGATTGTAAGCCTTTTTCAAATGCAGTTGATTTTTTAAAATGTATTAAAGATAATTTATAAACTAAGAAAAACACCTCCACAAGTGTTCCAATGCAAAACACAATCAGATAAAATGTACAACTCACCTCAGGTAGATTCTCAACACAGACAAGAAACTCTTCTAATTCCTGCAAAAACCAAAGACACAAAGCAAATCAGTCAACTGTTAATTTGTATTTCTCACATGTTAAAATGCAAATTTAAATAGACTTATGGGACAGCATTAATATTTTGTTTTTTACAGGCATTAATCATTACAGACAAAAAAAAACAAAAGAATAAAATGGACCTTATTATAATGTATCTCAGTCTAGTCGGGGAAAAAAGGTCTTTTTTGTACACAAAAATAATAATTACAGTTTGGTAGCTGACAGATTGGTTATAGCCTCAGATGAAAGCATAATAGTGATTAAGTGATATAGAAACTGTTCTGCATTTAGTGAGTTCGTAATTAAAGTCTAGCTTTTAATTTCTCTTCTTGGTGCGCTACCACATTCTTATTTGTTACACTGAATAATAAAATTAAATATTTGATTTTGCATAGCAGGTTGGCTGATTTACTTTCATTTCCTTCTAGAATGGTATTAACCTGAAGGCTAATTAACTGCCAGTGACTTAGCAATGCATTTGTTCAGGGATAGAGTGAATTGATTAATGATGGAAAGATCTTTAGGGTGCTTCTTGTATAAAAAAGGATTTGGGGGGCTTCTTTGCATAAATTGAAACATTTAATACTCTAAGGACCTGCTGACTGTTTGATGACACCAGCTTGAAATGTGTTCTGGTACGTTTGTTCTTCAGGATTTATTACAGGCTACTGGATTTCCAGAAAGAGAAACACAGAACAGCACAATGAAGGGTGAATATCCTGTTGGTTTTCCTCACCTCCACCGGCTGGGAATTTAGAATGGTAGGAAAAGGCTCCGCTCTTCAGGAACAACAGAGAGAGAAGACCAGAGGGTGTGTGGGACACACAGAGAGGGCAGGCAGGTTATTAAGACAAGCTCCAGGGTTTCAACAGCCCTTTCGCGAGAGGAAATGAAGAGTGTTATTCACAGTTAGTCAAAGTCAGTTATGAAGAAAGAAAGTGCTCCTTGCACTGCCTACACCACTTTTGCTGCATGCTCGCTCGTTTCATGAATAAATGAATAATGAGTTTTGCTGGAGGAAGCATGAAGACCGGGCAGCCCACCAATGAGATGCAGCTGGTGTGACTGAAAGACACACTTCTAATGGGACTAGACAGTAGACCCTTTTCAGGCAGTACCTGCTTCACAGTACATCTCCATGTTCTGCAAACTCTTTCTGCTCAATTGTAAATACACTCAGCGGGACCTGCAATCTAGACCTGGGTGGAAAGACATTAAGGTTCCTGTCTCTGGGAGGACATTATATCAGATTAAGGCTTGAGGAGACATTGAAAAATGAGAAAACATTGCTAAATCGCTTGCTGCCCTAAGGGCAGCTCCACAACCTAAGAGATGTAAACACATTCAGGATGGATATCAAGGTCACATTTTCACAAGGTCATGTGTTGGAGGATGTTGAAAAACTAATGATTTTAAAACTAGAGCTTGCCGACCTGCAGTACAGAGTAATCTAAAAGAAACCTGGTTCACCATGAGAGGCTAGTATTTCTGCATCTTCTTAAGGCTTCAAGACAGCCTCAAGCTCTGAAAGTTTTCATTTTGGGAGTTCACCATTAAGCTTCTTTTTATTTGTTTTTTTTCTTTCCTCTGTAGTTCTACAGGATTGCAATTGCAGGACCTGAGATTAATTTAGCAGACACAATTTGCACTGTTGTGGTGTTATAGAAAGAATCCTCTAGGAGTGAAACAATTCATGTTCCTTTCCTCCTCCTTAGGTACATACTGTACTGTAAGATCTCGTTGCCCGAAGTGAACTGAGATGTCCCATAAGTAGACAACTGATTCTCTTGCCTACAGTATATTGTCTAAAAAGTGCAACAGCATCATAAAACACCACTTTTTCTCTTTGGTGTACTGCCTTGGAACACCACAGCTTTCACATCTGGATTAGTTTATATGTTCTTAACGGCTACTAATGAACAGTAAGTGCCTCAGTAGGAAACTGACACATCTGAAACACAAAGTGTCACACATACTGTGAAGGAGCTGCCTGTCTCAGATGTATAACAGACTCCTGTAAATTGTTCCCTTTATTTCAAACACGCTGCAAGTAAGAATCAAACATGAATGGATTCAAATTAATTTAATCCAAATAACATGTGGAAAAACACTGACTATCCTCACTCTGCTAACTTCCCAACCCACAGAGGTTGTATTACAGCATAACTGTATGTGATTCTTAGTACTTGTGTGAGATTCCTCTTAAACTTATGCAACTTTTATTTTTGCACCACAGTCTACTGGCTTGGACAACACAGTGTTTCTGTTTTCCCACTGGATACTCTCCTCCGCATGATTGACCTGTTTTGGTCTTCCAGTGGATAAGGGCATATTTTGGAAAGAGCAGCTGTGATTTGTTTCAAGTCATGAGTGCTGACTAACCATGGGAAAGTACAACAGGAAGTATAAACTCGAACAAGACCAGGGGGAGGCTTGATATAGATGAGTGAGGGAGCAGGAAGTTTTGGAAAGCACTTGGAAGAACTGACAAACAATCCTCTTTTTTTTTCCAACAAGACATCACCACACACCCAGAACTACACCGTACTGATACGATGACATGCAGGCTTGGCTCCTTAATCATGTTGAAAACCAAAAGGGTATGGTGAAACAAAACCTGATGATTTTTTTAAAATAATACATTCTTAGTTTTTGCAACAGCACAATTATTAGCTGCTGCACAGTTTTCCTATCAAAGCTTTTCTAATATTTACAGACTTTATCTGTTATTTCTGTACGACACTGTTTATAAAGGACAGATAAGGGAAGGGATTTATGATGCATAAACACTGTTTATACATGTGTGTGTGTGCACATGTTACGCATGTACAGGACTGCATGTATTTTAAAGTACCTTGGTTAATTCAGAGTGGTCTAAATCTCCTTCAGTGCACCAGGGGCCTCCTAAGGCTCTTGATTCTGGGGAGAGGCATCCTTCTTTGGTTTCAGCTGGGGGGCAGAGGTGACGCGAGCACCCAGCTTCCACAGCCCGGCCCTCCTCCGTCTCCTCGGAGCTGCAGACACCGGCCGCCCGAAGCTGCAAGCCCTGCAGCACGAGGTGACAGGCCTCCAGGTCGGCCTCCCACACGCGCTCCACGACTTGGCTTCCACAGCTGGAACGAGAGCAGAAGGGGCACTTCACAGCAGGGCAGGCACAACGGCACATCAGAAACGGAGACAAAGAACACACCCCCTTCGATAACAGGATCACCCATCCCCCCCCACCCCGCACCCCCTCAGCGCAGGGGCCTGAGCAAATAAGCTTCCGCTCCAGAATACGTGGAGCGTGTCTGAGATTTCATGGAAAAAGAGCTCGGCGAGAATGAGGAAAATGTTTTGCTAAATATCCATTTTCTGACCGCGCGCTGAACTCTCGTTTCCAGATAATGAGGTTTGTGCGCAAATTGTTTTTCCTGAACGGCCGCTTAAGCCACTGGCGTGTTTAGTTTACAAACAGCAGAGGAAATTTCAGTGCTGTAATTAAAATCATTTTAGGTGACCAGGCATTGGTAGGATGGGAAATCATGAACTGTGCATAAAATGAACTGACTTTCTAATTTCCGAGTCCCTCAGGGACAATACATGGCTGTACTGGAGACTCCATGTAATACAGACATGAAATGTGTGTGTCTGGATCTCAATATACTGTACAGTTCATAAACCTATATCAAGAAGCAATAAAATATTTTGTATTAGTCCAAGAGTTGAAAATGTTTCTGTCCTTCTCTTTAGGTTTTCCATGCAATGTTAACAGTAAACAATTTCACATAAGGTGCACACTTACAGTCCAGTTATTGCTCCTCTGAATGAAAATGCATACAATATATTCATTGTATTTCCCAAATAAGGCTGTTCAAACTCTATTAAACAGGACAACAAGATTAGAAATAGAAAAACAGAACTCAAGGTCTTCTAACTAGAATCCCAATACATTTACTGCTGAGCTTAGAATCGTGCATTGGTATTTTCTTTTCACTCAACCTTTTTCAATCAGAGTTTTGTAAAAAAACACAACAATCTGCTATATGATGCAAAGTAGATAATTTAGTTTCACATCACACCATCCCAAAATGTTGTTCCAGCGGCCCACTGGCACTCCACAGCGTACAGGACACATACCCTAAAGTCCCTAAAGAGCAGTTATTCAAAAACCCCCTGGCCGAGGAGGTCATGGGCCAAGTCAATAATGAGGTTTCATGCCACGTCTTGGACATTTTCGGTCAAACGTTCAAGAATCATTTCAATGAAGGACGACTTATAACGTCTTATTGAAATGGGAAAGTACAAAGCGCTCCTTCATGGAAGCTCTGGTCTGGAGTGGCCTTTCATCTGCTGCTGGTGAACGGCTTGACTATTCGATTCGATAAAACGCCGAGACAGTAACGGAATGGAATTAAAGGCTAACTACATTCATGAAACTGTAGTATATTTATGAAACCTGCTGTGTGGTTGTGCGGTTTTCGCTGCATCAGTGAGAAGGAAGTGGCGAAGAAGCTGATGAGCTCTTGCCGTTGAGGAGGAACAGGTTATACTTGAGGGAGACAACTACAGTAGATCACCAGCTACCCAAAAAACGCTCAGCAAGCGAGCACTCACGTGTCGGAAGGAGAAAAGATTTTTGAACTGCAGTCTACTTCCTGGAATATTCTTAATAGCTCCCTGTCATGGAAGAAACATAATGGACTAGTAGATTTTTAAAGTACTGATGCAATACCACTGCTGAAGAATGTGTGACATGGGAAATGAACATGGAAATGATTAGGATTCTCTTTAGCAGGTCCCCAAAATCTCCCAGGTTACAAAGTGTCAAATACTTCCAGACAGCAAAGCATTGTGCGCCGACATGATTAATGGCTCTCGCTAAAGTGAAGCTCACTAACATTCACTCTGTAAAACTTCATTGTGACGCTGGGCCCCTCTGTGGCAAGGGTGGATGGCACCATCTCTGAAGGTAAAGTGAAAAACGTAAGGAAACACAAATGCAATTAAGCTGTTTGCTTTACATTCTTCACTTTCCAGTAATTTAATTTAGTGCTTAACATAAACTTCGGACTCCTTTTTTTTCTTGCTTTCTAACCAGGAAGATAAACTTAGAATGATTCACAGAGGTTAAAACGTAGGAGCTCACTGCAGGTCCCTGTTTCTTGTCTTTTAAAATTGACAAGGCTCCTTAAAAAGCCTTTTAAGTAGTTTCATCTACTGTATATCTTGTGTAGTATGAAGCTGGCAATGCGTTCTGAAGATCATGAATTGGTGGGACTGTATAAATCACTTCTCTGAACGCACAGTAGACTATAACAATACCCGGTTGTTGGGCAGCACTTGCACTGTTCAGTTGGACAAATCGCTGTAATTATGATATGAATGATAATGAACGTATCTGTTACTTCTGTTCCATACTTATTTTAGTCAAGGTGTAAGTCCTTTGATTACAAATGAGTGATGTATCCACTAATACATATAATTATAGATAATGAATAGATAAAAGAAGCAATGGGATGATTCTCGCAGTTTTAAAAGTGAAACTGTACACGAGAGTAGTGCCTACAATACATCAGAAAAGAGTGTTACTTCAGATTGGCTGCCGCTGAAATCAACAGTGACTGCCAGCGCTGTGGTCCTCTGACCTCTGAACAGAGTTTCTGTCACAAAAATCAAGCGTTCAAACAGGACTCAGAGACAAAACCCTTTTCTTTAAAAACAAGAGAAAAAAAAATAAAGCTTCCCTCTTGAAATATAGCTATGAAAAACTTCCAGATGTTTGCTGGCCATTCCTTCTAGGTTTATTAGACTAAACAAACTCTTTAGACTACAACTAAAAATGTATTATTTCTTAGGCAACAGATACAGCCTTTAAATGTGTCCTTGCAGTAGTACTGAATATGGAGTCTTTTCAATTACCATAAACTGATTAGAAACCAATGAGGCGAGGCAACATTGTTCTTTTCACTCTAGCTGTGTGTATCTGGCAGAAGACACGGTCGCAGCAACACAAATAAATACAACTGAGTTTAGGTCCTTTGTGCTAAACTGAAATAGACAGCTTTGTTAACATCCAGCATATTTTATCTACCACCCGATATCACCTCTCGCAGCTTAAAAATGTGAGGACCCTTCTCTGCACGATTCCATTCGCAGACCACAGTAGAAATCCCTCCAAGTCATTTGTCTGCTGTGTGATGACACCACTTGCCTTCTCCTTGTTCATTGCTGACAAGCCAAGTTTCACATTATGAAAATTGTGGTTGTTATTTAAACCAGAAGCACGGATCTTTTCACAAACAATCTGGCAAATCATGCACGCAAGTGCAGACGAATTGTAAACAGAACTGGGAGGAGCAAGAAATGTCAGTGTATATTTAAAGTCAAATTGAGGATGAAAGCTGACCGATGTCCTGATTCCCTTTTAATACATGGAACTGTGCCTTAAAAAAATTAACCACATCACAACAGAAAATCAGAAACTTCTAGCTTCTAGCCAGAATGAGATATGGGAACAGTATCTGTACTCCACTAGTTGCCGTTCTCTGAGTCAATAAGTAGGCAAATGTAGGATTCTCCCCCATCATCTCTCAGTGAAGAAACCAGTTTTACAGTCACTCCATGAGGCTGCTTCCAGAATGCCAGGTGTGTTCCAGCCACACCCCCAGACATACTCAACACCCTTTTCAAAAACCGCTTGGGCGCGGTCCGAGGGGGGGGCTCTGTCATCTAAAACCAATACTGGACCAACTGCCAGCTGAGCAATGGGGAAAAATCACGTCATTTCTACATGGCAACATATCTAAAAGAAACACTGCCACACTGGAAGATACAGAGCTCAGAGTGGACATCCATGATGACGCTATCCCACAGCAATGCATGTCTGGCAACCAAAAGTGCCTCTTTTGGAGCTGGAGGACCGTTCATTGGCTCACATGAGCTCTTTGAAAGCTCACAGCATGATGGGCCAAGCAGCAGAGACAGCACATCATTTCTGTTCTTTGACAGTGACTTTTTACACTGGGAAGCTCTTATTGGCATCTAGCAAAGAAAACTAGATGTAAGACACTTTTACCAATTGCATTTTATGACAAAATATGAATAAACTTGTCTTAGGAACAAAAGAAGCAATTAGATCACATTCCAGCTCTGCAAACCTCATATTCAACATACAGCCTTTCCAAACCCTCCAGAATCTACTATAGCACCTTTTCACTTCCGATGATACTCAGACAGTTCAGCTGATTTTTGGTTACCAGCTATTATACATTACAAACGAAAACAGAAAATGCATTACAATTCTGCTCATTAATTTTAACTATGCTAACTAACATACAGATTAGATATATATGACATTTTTGTACGTGGAAACAAACTACCTTGTTATACTGCAGCTCACAATGACCCTTTAAAAGACAAACATGCTGACAAATAAACTTAATTGTGCAGTCTTTGTAGACATCAGTTTTGGGGAGAAAATACAGAAAGATACTTCCGTAGAACAGGTGAGTTTCGCTCCTTTCTTATTAAACACATTCTAATAAGACAGGAAGTCCTATTTGACCCATTTAAATAGTGCTTTGTTGATTCCACTCCACTAGGTTCAGGCAGAGCTGAGATGCCACAATCAGAAGTTGTTAATATTAACCCCATTAATTAAGCACTTGACTCAGCTTTCAGAGCTCATTACAAGGAGAGCTCCAAACATTGTTGAATGCTTTGGACGGCTTTAATTTTGACTTCGAGGCTTGTCAAAGGTTTACTTAAAGAACAGCAATGCAGGTCTGTTCTCATCAGAACAAGCATTCTGCCACAACCTCTCAGCAAGGGCTTCAATCTGAGAGTCTGCTCACAGTGCAGACCAGTCCACGTACAGTACTTCATTTCCGATCCTCCTTCTAGCTGAGAAGTACAACACCATTATGAAATACCAGGCAAATGGTATTATGGCATTTCTACCATTGATCTGAACAGATTGATTAAATGATGCTAGATAATGCTCTCTGTGCCTTAGTTAAAGGAATCCTTAGATAGTTATTTGTTCTGCCTTAATGAAAACCCCTAGGTCAAAAGAATATGTGAGGGGGAAAAAATGCACTGAGCCTTATGATCATTTCGGAAAAAAAAAACA